CTGGCTCTTTCATCCAGTTTGGAGCGACGTCCTGATCCAGCGAGGGTCTGTGTTGTACCAAATACCTTCCACTTCTTAATAACAGACTTCACTGTGTTTCTAGGCACTGATAAAGACTTTGAAATGTTTTTGTATCCATCTCCTGACTTGTGCCTGTCCACAACTTCATCCCGGAGATCTTTTGATAGTGCCTTGCCACCCATAGTTAATTGTTTGCTTCCGTTGCACTACCAAGAACTGAAATGCTCCATGAAAGCTCTTTTTATGCTGAGCTAATCAAAATGACCACAGTTGAAATTCAAAATGGCTTTGTGTGCCATTGAGAAGGTGATTAGTTACACCTGATTGAGCTGACAAGTCATTTTTAGGAGGATGTTATAAGTTGCACTGAGTAAATACAGCTGGATAAAACAAAAACTGTCCGTCTTCATTTCAGGCTGCAAAGCAACAACGTGATTATTTTAAAGGAGAGTGATTCTTTTCTATACCCACTGTATTTCTTAAATATATACATGTGTTTGTATTCATATATACATTATAAATATACACAGACAGTTCACAGACATTTGTTATGTAAACTAGGGCTGCACGATAAATCGCATGCGATATTTAATGCGCATCTTGTCAGAAAGCCGGTTCTGTAATCAGCGGTAAATCTCCATCACGTGCGGGCTTTCACACGGAGCAGCATTTACTACACAGAGCCGTTGTTCACTGACGAGCTGGGCAAAAAATCGCGCGAATATCGGCTCTGTGTAGTAAATGCTGCTCCGTGTGAAAGCCCGCAGGTGATGGAGATTTACCGCTGATTACAGAACTGGCTTTACTCATAAGATGCGCGTTAAATATCGCATGCGATTTATCGTGCAGCCCTAATGTAAACGTAGACTTTTATTTTGGATGCGGTTTAATCGTGATCAATCGATTTAACAGCCCTATTCTGAATATGTGAACGGACCTTACAATGATTCTTGTACATTTCCTGATTCTAGGCAGACAGCACATACCTGGTTCAGGTTTACAATCTGACCTTGCTTTGCTCAGAGGAATACATCATTGAACCTCAGTCAGTGCAGTTCCTTGTACAACATGGATTTGACTTCAACAAACAATATGCTGAAGGCATTCCTTATTATAAGGGTAATGATAAAGTGAGTATGATTGAACCTATACAAAAAATACTGATAGAACTTTTCAAAAAGAATTTTAAGATTTGGAGACTTAAGTAGGTGTGTTTTGTGCTTGTTTTAGGGAGGTGATGCCCATGGGGTAAACCTGCGCTCCTTGTTCGTAGAACTGCTTAGGGCCAACAAGCCCTTGGTGGTCCATAACGGTCTGATAGACATGGTCTTCCTGTACCAGTGCTTCTATGCCCATCTACCTGAGCGACTGGGCACCTTTATTGCGGATCTGTCCCAGATGTTTCCCTCAGGCATATATGACACTAAGTATGCAACAGAGAATGAGCTGAGGTTTACAGCCTCATACCTGGAATATGCCTATAAGAAGTGGTATGTGTAATATCGCGATATGTCAAAAGTACAAAAAAAGTGTGCATGTCCGTTCAGTACCTGAAATGTAAGATATTTTCTTTGTCCTCCACAGTAAGCTGGAAAATAGCAAAGCCATTGCAGGAGGTAGCAATGGGAGTCATGTGTTCATAGAGTTTTGTAAATATACAGGCAGCATGCAGAGCTACATAGACTACAGGCCGTGCTTGGACAACCAGAATCAGGATGGTGCCCTCAACATCTGTGTTCAGTTCTCTGTGAGTTCCTCAACTACCGTAGGTTATACATGACCGTTCAGAAGTCAAAAGAGTTTTTTTTTTTTTTTAAAGAAATTTGCTCTCGTATTCAGCATGGATGGATGAAATCAAAAGTAAAGAGAAATGACAGTAAATGTGTTTATATAGTTATGAAAGAATGCTGTTCTCCTGAACTTTCTATTAATCAAAGAATCCTGAACAATTGTATGGTGGTTTCCACAAAAAGCAGCACAACTGTTTTCAACCTTGATAATATTAAGAATGTTTTTTGGGCAGCAAATCGGCATTAGAATAATTTCTGAAGGATCATGTGACACTGAAGACTGAAGTAATGGCTGCTGAAAATTCAGCTTTGCCATCACATGAATAAATTACATTTTGAAATAAATTAAAACAGAAAACAGTAATTTTAAAAATGTAGTAATATATCACAGTTGGCCGATCCACCTGACATCAAAATATCAATATATCTAAACATTTAATTCTCAAACTGATATAGAATCAACAATAAGGAAATATATTTTAAATATGTCTTTAATGGCATATTTTTACTATCAAGTGCTATGAAGATCAAGGTCAGTACTGTCAATATTGATACTTATATAAAATTCGATTGTATGCAAGTATAAACCGCAAATTATCAGATTTGTTTACTGACATTTACAGAATGTTCTTCTGTATGAATCTTATAACAACTTAATTTACATAAAGCCATTATAATAAATGTACATTCACCTTTAGTGTGAAATAACTCCAGATGATGTTTCTGTCATCACTCCATCTGTTCTGGTTGAATGAGAGCTGTCTGTTACTTTCCCCCCACTTTCAAGCCTTAAGTTTCATGCAAAACAAATAAAACCACAAGTTAATGATAACACTTGTGGTATTTTGTGAATATAAATACATATAATTAGAATTATAATAGGTCGTATACCTTAGGCCTGAAGGGATGTTATACTACAACATACAACATTTTGAATGTGACACTTGGTAATTGTTTTCTGCTCTAGGCATATGGATGGTGTCCTAATGGCTCTCAATGCCCCATGTCACATGACACAGACCTTATAATCCAGCATGATGAGAAGACCAGAGAAGACAAGAGGAAGAAAAGGAAGCGCAAGAACAAAAAGAAAGCTTTTCAAGGGCCCTCTGAGACATGCAGTTCCCCACAGGGCAAAAAGTCGCGCTTTGAAGAGGCCAAGCTGGACCAGGCAGTGCCCATATCTGAACCAGCACTCCCTGAACATCAGGAGAAGACAGCGAGTTCTGAGCCAACAGATGCTGTGCATGCGTTTGAAGCTGGGAAAACAGCCAGCAAGAATGGAAATGAGGAATCTCGGCCAGAAGCACCTTCTGAAGCTCCTGATAGACCAAAAGAGAAGAAAGTGGAAGGAGGAACTCACCGAGCAGGGTTTGACGCTTTCATGACGGGCTATATTTTTGCTTATGCCAGAAATCTGACAAAAAACACAGAAGAACCCAGCACTGCTCCCCTTATCCCTGCATGTCTCAATAAACTCTTCCTCAGTGGCAAGTCTGTTCCTCTACATGTAGCCAAAAGCACCTTCTCCAAGTCTTCAAAGGCTCATGTGCACAAGATGGACTATGTCTGGGGAAAAAGCACTGCTGTAAAACCTGAAGGAACTGCATAGAAACCTTTGATTTTCAGATTTAAATTTTTGTGTAAACTTTTGTTCAAATAAAATCAAAGTTTTTCTACTGTTTTCTGACCATGGCATGGCTGTTTTTTCTCTTCTGATTTATTTTAATCTAAATTTTGTATTCTTTTCAGTGTGCTAGACTAGATAAGCATTAGACTTAATAGATACTATGAAAGAGCCTTTAAATGCAAGGCTGATGATGGGCTAGGTTTACTACAGTGGGTATAGAAAAGAATCACCCCCCTTTAAAATAATCACATTTTTGCTTTGCAGCCTGAAATAAAGATGGACACAGTTTTTGTTTTATCCAGCTGTATTTACTCAGTGCAACTTGTAACATCCAAGAGAAAGATATAACACCAGCATGTCAGGAAAAAAAAGTTTCACCCCCTTGTGTCAGTATTTTATTGAACCACCTTTTGCTTTAATTACAGTATTTAGTCTGTTGGGATCTGTCTCTGTCTCTACTAACTTTGCACATCTAGACTTTGTAATATTTGCCCACTCTTTGCAGAACTGCTGAAGTTCAGTTCAATTTGATGGTGACCGTTTGTGGACTGCAGTCTTCAAATCATTCCACAGATTTTCAATGGAGTTTCAGTCTGAGCTCTGACTAGGCCATGCAAGGACATTAACTTTTTTCTCCTTCAACCACTGTGTGCTCAGTCTTGCTGTGTACTTTGGGTCATGTTGGAAGGTAAACCTTCCCATTGACAACTTTCTGGTAGAGGGCAGCAGATTTTCCTCAAGAATTTGATAGTATTTTGCTCCATCCATTTTTCATTCTATCCTGCCAAGTGCTCCAGTCCCTGCTGCAGAGAAAAAACGCCATAACAGGAAAATACCACCTCCATGCTTTACTGGAGGAATGCTGTTATTATGAATGGTGTGCTGTATTGGATTTCCACCAGTCATATTGTTTGGTGTTGAGCCCAAATAATTCAGTTTTAGTCTCATCTGCCTCAGAATATTCAAGGTGCGTTTTGGCAAAGCTAGTCGTGACTGCATGTGGCCTTTCTTGAGGAGTGTCTTTTTTCTTGCAACCCTCCCATACAATCCACATTTGTGCAGAATTTGTGATATTGTTGTCCATGCACACAAATGACCACTCCTTGTCATAAATTCCAGCAACTGCTTCAGAGTTGCTGTAGGCCTCTTGGTAGCCTCTCTGGCCAGTTTCCTCCTGGCTCTTTCATCCAGTTTGGAGCGACGTCCTGATCCAGGGAGGGTCTGTGTTGTACCAAATACCTTCCACTTCTTAATAATAGACTTCACTGTGTTTCTAGGCATTGGTAAAGACTTTGAAATGTTTTTGTATCCATCTCCTGACCATAACTTCATCACGGAGATCTTTTGGCAGTGCCTTGCCAACCATAGTTGATTGTTTGCTTCAGTTGCACTACCAAGGACTGAAACACTCCAGGAAAGCTTTTTTTCATGCTGAGATAATCAAAATGACCAGAGCTGAAAGTCAAATGGCTTTGTGTGCCATTGAGAAGGTGATTAGCTACACCTGATTGAGATTACATGTCATTTTTTAAGAGGTGGGTGATCCTTTTTCTAAATCAGTGATTCTGTTTTTGTTTTTTTTCCCCCTGATATATTGGTGTTATATCTATCACTTGGATGTTTTAAGTTGCACTGAGTAAATACAGCTGGATAAAACAAAAAATGTGTCCATCTGCAAAGCAACAAAATGTGATTATTTTAAAGGGGGTGATTCTTTTCAATACCCACTGTATATGGTTAATGAACAATGTACAAAAAGCAAAGTCACAATAAAAATCAATAAGACATTTTGAATTTATTTTAAACAAATGGGAATACACATGCATTTAAAGAATTAAAGCCATATAAATGGGGAAAATAAGTCCTGATCTGTCTTTGGTAGAAATATACACCTCTGATTCAGTTACAAATCTACAATCTAAAAGAAAACAGTCAGGACTGAAAAAGCAGAAAAATAGAGTTAAGAATAAACTAGCAAGAAATGACCATTTTCAACATGTACAGAAATCTCTATTCATCAGATCGTATAAACAACAACACAGTTTAAACAGTTCACAGACATGAAGACATAATAAAATGACTTTTTTCATTATAAATATCAAAATAAATCTCTCTATAAAACTATCATGCCATGGTTAAATTTATTGCATAGAAATGTAGTGACAAATAGATTAAAAAAAAGTTCAAACCATTTAACTTATTTCAAGTGCAATTACGATTTTAAGTAGATACAGACATGGACTTTTTTTTTTTTTGAAGACCTGAGAGGTCAAAGAGTGAAAATGATCCTTGTTTTGAAATTACCATGGCACACACCGTTAGCGTAGGATCAAAACAGGACCTTTTTAAGATGCGAGATGACATGGAATGTTTGCTGTGTATTTTCTAGGCCCATGCAGTGCAAAAAAAAAAGACACTCGATCACCTTTCTCCAAAGAGATTTGTTCTTCGATAACTTCTGAAAAAAGAAAAAAAAAAATCAAACATGTAGAAATGGCCAAAGCTGCTCACCTAAATAAGCATTAGATACTGTTTGTAGGGAAAAAAAAAAAAACAGCATTTGTGGTATGTGCAACCAATAGCATGTATTATAAAGAAAAAAACATCACAGAATGTGTCTCATCATTAGCCCTGTGCGAGGTTACGTCCACTGAATCTCCCACTGTTGGAGTTCTTCATAGTGTGACGGGTAACTACTACCGCATGGACCGGATCAGTGTTTCCACCTTTTTCCTGCTCTTTTGTTCAATTCAAGCCGCCCTTTTAGCTTAAGTTACAAGGGTTTACTTTCCCTCAAAGAAAAAAAATATATAACTTATAATCATATTAAATATTTAATGAATATAATCTCTGTTTGCGTGACATCTGATCAGTTCAAACTTGAGGAAGTGTCCTCAACCATCTAGATATCACATCTGGAGATGCGTTCTCCTGAAGATGAAGCTTTGCAGGCTGTGAGGACTATCGGACAGAGTTCCTGTGGCTCCACAGACATGCTCAGCGTGAGCGAGTTCTTGTTGGAGATCATCAAGCCATCCTGGTCTTCAGCCTCCATGTCCTCGCATAAGCCGCCGAGACTTCTGTTCTGTATCTGGCTGAGGATCGTGTCCTTATCGTCCGCAGGGCTTCCTCTGCTGCTGGAGCAGTCCATGGCCTCCGATTCTCCTCCCTCAGAGGGTACCGGAGATGACCAATCCTCTGCCGCTCCCACTTCCTCCTGTCTTTCGGCTCGCGGCTTGTACGGAGGGATCTCAGCAACAGCGTACTTCTTAGCCCAGCTGCTCAATGCTTTTTGCCTGCTTTCACCGCCGGGCTGTCCGGCCTCGCTCTTGGACGTGGGGTGAGATGAGAATAAGACATCTGAGTGGGGCAGCTGGGGAGAGACGGGTAGCGAGTGGCACTGCCGACCGGGCAGCTGCCAGGTCTCTGGCCAGGATGGGAAGCAGTTGTTGCCGGAGGCTCCCGTGCTAATGTTGGGGTGAGGCTGGTATGAGCTTTGACTGCCGTGAGGCGAGTGCAAATCAAACATGAGTGAGAAGACCGATTTGCTGGGCATGTCGTAAAACTTGATCTTGCCACCTTTTAAGTCCTCTCTGGCACTGAAAGGGTTGACTTTCGGTTGCCCGTGTATGAAGCCCCTAGGTCCTGGGTTGTAGTAAGGGTCCTTGACGTTCACTTTGCGAGCAGGCTTACGAGAGAAAATATCAGACTGGCTACGGGAAAGACAGATGTTGCGATGTGGACGGGGGGACTTGGGTGGAATCTTGTCATCCTGAAAAACAAGAGGATTTAACCTCTTTATACCCTTTTCACCTGGACCTAGAACAACAATAAGAGAGACATTAGGCAAATTAGGTAACATTATCTAACTGAGATTAATAAATGCTGTACAAGTATTGTTCATTGTTAATAGTCAGGTCTATCTATACTAATACATTTTACCATTTCAACTCATTATAAATTATCATTCACCTTCACAACCATTTTCAAAGTTTGGGGTCAGTATTTATTTTTTGTATAAAATTAATTCTTTTATTCAGCAAGGATGCATTAAATTGATCAACAGTGACATTTAAAATGTCACAAAAGATTTTAGTGCAAATAAATGCACTTTTAAATTTTGCTTTCAAAGAATCCTAAAAATAGTAAAAACGGTTTCCACAAAAATATGAAAAAGCACAACTGTTTTCAACATTGATGATAATAAGAAACATTTCTTGAGCAGCAACTTATCATATTAGAATGATTTCTGAAAAATCATGTGACACTGAAGACTGGAGTAATAGCTGCTGAAAATTCAGATTTGCAATCACTGGAATAAATGACACTTTAAAATATTAAAATAGAGAGTTATTTTAAATTGTAATAATTTACGATATTACCGTTTTTACTGTATTTTTGATCTAATAAATAAAGCCTTGGTGAACATAAGACATTTTTCAAAAACATGAAAAAAAATAAATAAATAAAAATTCTTATCGACCCCAAACTTTTGGAATGGTAGTGTATATTAATAAATACTGAAAGAATAGATGTTCATCCTAAGTTAATGATTATACCAAATGCATTGCCTAATATACTGATATTTATTCATTCACTTGACAAGTGTAAACACTGTAGCACTATTAAAACATTGCTGAGTTAGTCTGAGCATATTGACCAGAGCCTGATATAACAACACATTTTTCAAAAACATGAAAAAAAAATAAATAAATAAAAATTCTTATCGACCCCAAACTTTTGGAATGGTAGTGTATCTTAATAAATACTGAAAGAATAGATGTTCATCCTAAGTTAATGATTATACCAAATGCATTGCCTAATATACTGATATTTATTCATTCACTTGACAAGTGTAAACACTGTAGCACTATTAAAACATTGCTGAGTTAGTCTGAGCATATTGACCAGAGCCTGATATAACAACACTGGCTCAACCAATGGAGTGAGTTTGGAGTGTGGTTAACTATTTGTTGACCAATGGCAGATGCAAGGAATGTTCCGAAAACCTGTTTAAAAATAATATTTTTGCTAGTCACCAAAAAGAATCAACACACTTGAGCCTGAAAGTATAATCTTGAACACTAGGTGGTGACATAATCAGTAATGTTCATTTGAATATATGGAAGGCACATCATGTTTAAACATTAATATCAAAACTCAAAAATACACAACACTGAAAACAAATACAGTACATGGAGTCTAAAAGGTGCCTATATGAAACGGAGCATTACAATATTGGTAGTTTAAAAGTTTTGGGTCTTGAGAAATATTATCAATTTAAAATAGCAGTTTTGTATTTTAACATATTTTAAAATGTAATTTAGTCCTGTGATGGCAAAGCTGAATTTTCAGCATCATTACTCCAGTCTTCAGTGCCACATGATCCTTCAGAAATCATTCTAATATGCTGATTTAATGTTCAAATAACATTCCTAATTATCAATGTTGAAAACATTTTTGTGGAAATTGTGATGCATTTTTCAGAATTCTTTAAAAGCAACATTTATTTGAAATTAGGGCTGTGCGATATCACTGTAATTATATTAGCCAGTATTTGATTTACCCCATTACAGTTGTGTCTTTACAGTTATTGCTATCATAAAAATACACTTACTTGTAGATTTAAAATTCTACATATGACACATATAAATGTTCATCAAACAACTGTATATCAATATAAATGGTAATGCCTCATCCTATATTGTTTATATACTATATTGATATATCGTACAAACTCGATATACTTCATAGAAATAAAAATATTTTGTAGTTTACTGTCAATTCAATGCTTCATGGATGAATAAAAAGACCTCAGATTTTGAATGGTAGTGTATCTGAAGCATGAGGCTCAATGAGGCTCTAATCTCTTCTAGCCATACATTGTTTTGTGACTTATTCCTTGTTTGTTCAGGACATGAATTAGCACTAAACAGAAACTGGGCTGTGAGATTGCAAAGAAGAGAGGGAGAAAGTAAAAGCGGTGCATTATAAGTAATTCTCACGTCAGGAAAGAACATCCAATCCATAAAGCTCATATAAAAGAGTTGTACTGTCTCCAATCCGTTCGTTTTTTTAGACTCCTTGTTCTTAGAAGTCACTGGCCCTGCGGTATTACATGGAAAGTGAGTGCTGGATGGTATGAGCAAAGCCTCAGGGGGCGACAGGATGTACTAACTCTGTCAAAACAACTCAAATCAAAGATGTGTTCAAAGCACATCAAAGCTTTTGGTTTTGGTTGCCAGAAATAGTGAATGAAATATTACGCCATAGACACCTGTAGTTTTCATGATCACCTTGGCAGTTTGCAGGTTAGACAAATCAATATTGGGAGTGAAATAAAGGTGTTTGAGTAAACACACACCTTTGGGCAAGGCTTTTTTCTCCACCTCTCCGGCGGTTAGTAGCATCCTCTCCCTCTCAGAGTTGTCAGCTTTCAGCTTTTTCTGGATTTCTTCCAGTCTCTTTACTATATCTGGGAACGAGGGCCTGAGCTTTGGATCCATCTGGGATATAAGTGGAAGCAAAAAGAACATAAAAACACATCAGCGTCTAAATCTGGAGGAGCGCCATGTTCTCACTTCTATTCTAAGAATGCTACACTGCACATATATTACAGTGGGACAGTTTCATTTTCATGGTGAAAACGACTAACAATGTTGCAGTTGCTCGTCTGTTGATAAACTATAATATAATAATAATTATACTACAATATATTATGTAAGATGGATATACTACCATTCACAATTTTGGCTATATGCTATTAGTACGTCATGGATCCAAATGTGGTTTTAAATCAGATACATATCCGATATCTGGACATCCAACCAACGTCTAAACACACATATCCGATTCCCCGCAGAACTCCCAATGCGAGGGCAACACGTTTGCCCATAAAGATTGTGTTTTAATGCCGGTGTGCTGTTTGCGCTTGCTCGCATTTTATTGAGATGGAAGAAATTGTACATTCAAGAGCTGGTTTTCAACCCCTGCCCCGTGAATTTTAGAAATACAACAGCTAAAAGCTTCATTATATTTCTCAGCAATGAGGTGATAACTAAGCAGTTTTTGTAATTAAACCAACAAGTTTCACTTGTTCACAAGCTTCACATTCGCTCGCGCATTCTCTCTTTCTCTCTCGTTAATTCATTTCAATAAATATCATCTTGGAGCTACTTTATTTCACTAAAGAATTCTACCTCTAACGAGCTGTAGATAAAATAGCCTAACGAAATGAAAATTACCATTATTTCCCGTTATTTATCCATTCAGTCAGATTTTGTGCTGCAAAACATTCATGACAGCCGTTGTCCATGCTGGAAAATAATAATGGCCACTCGACGTGAATTATATAAATAATTTTAATAGCACGGCCATTCAAAACCCGAGGGTCTACCATGTGCATAATAAAGCGATAACTGCAGACAATCCTTTTGGGCGGGAATTCATTTAAACACAGATATCGGATACCAGTCGTGTCTAAAGTGAATGTAAACAGACGGGTCAAAAAAAATCGGATATGGTCAAAAGATTGGATCTGTGCATTAAGACTTAAGTGTAAATGCAGCCTTGGAATATTTATAAGTGGTGCTGACAGTATCTGTTCCTAGTTGGTGGTGGTTTGTTTTAGTTTCTGGGTTTTGAAAAAGTAATACAAAAATTCTAAACAGTTTGGGGGTGATCAAATTTGTAAGATTTTTGAAAGAAGTATATTATGCTGCACTAATTTAATCAAAAATACAGTAAAAACAGAATTACCGTATTGGCCCGAATATAAGACGACCCTGATTATAAGACGACCCCCCCTTTTTCCAGATGTACCTTTTGGAAAGTGCTCAGGACACTTTTCTTCTTATTATTATTATCAGTTGAAAACAGTTTAATATTTTCTGCTTCAATATTTTTACTGCTTAATATTTTAATGGAAGCCACAATCCATTTTTTCAGGATTCTGATAAATAGACAGTTAAAAAAAAGAACAGCATTTATTTGAAATAGAAAACTTTTGTAACATTATAAATGTCTTCACTTTTGACTTCTCAATTTAATGTGTCCTTGCTGAGAAAAAAAAAAATCTTACTGACCCCACATTTTTTGAATGGTAGTATTTATTAGGAAACTATGGAATTATAATTATTAAATAAAAATATAGGATAGTTAGGATCAATTACTTGGTGCTTTCTCAAAAGTATTACAAGAACCACTAATGGATTGGAAAACAGAAACTCACATTGCAACAGTTGAAGGCAAGCTGCAGGAAGTCTGGGGGACAATCTCCAACCATGTGCTGGAAGGCGTGGTAATCCAGGCCAAAGTTCTGCAAGGAGCAAATGTGGGGGTAAATGTCATACTCAGGACAAAGAGGCTTTAATGACTAGCTTAACAAGTGATGTAGTTACAAAGTTGATCTCCAATACATTTATTGGAGAGGTTTAAAACAGTGAATTACTGCTCACTTCAGTGCGTGGTAGGTAGTCAGGATCAGCCTGTATCCTTGCAATTATCTCACACAAAATAATGCCATACGAAAAGACATCAGCCTAGAAATGAATACAGAGAAATGATAATGTGTCCTGAAAGATGCTGGCAAGAAACAAGCCTTGTGATAGTGCCGAGTGTCAACTGCAACTGAGAATCCAACCTTCTCATTATAATGCTCGTCTCTCAACACTTCTGGAGCCATCCAGAATGGGGATCCCACCACGGACAGCTTTTCCCCCTCAAAACTGAACACACAGAATTATGGTCAAAAGACTGCCATGTCAAAATGCTTTCACACATTACAGAAATACAGGCACTTAAGCACTTACAATGAGTAAATGGCACCTGAAAGTTCAGTTGAGGCAGCAGTACTTTGAAAAGGGAAGTCTTTGAACAATGTGTGTTGAATAGGGAAGGGGTGACCAGTTGATCAACAACATGACGACTCAATTAGCTTTGTCAGATTTTTTCCCTTTTTTCGTTTCAATGTTTTTAGCAGCAGTGCTTTAAATAGATCTTTTGTCAGACCGTTTTACACAACATTGTCTAGCACGTTTTGGCATTGCCATTCACCGCACATTCAAAGGGAAAGTTCACCCAAAAAATACAATTCATCAATTACAAAGACTTTTGTTCATTTTTGAACACAAATAAAAATATTTTTTAATAAAATCTATCTTTAATAAGACATGAACAGTTGATATATGATTTAAAGCTCAAACTTGCTTACGCGGCATGCAAGAAAAACCTCGTTTTCGCACATCAGGCAAGCATGCAGTCAAGCATTTTTGATGTGCTCTATGTATGTGTGTTACTCTATTTTAATATGTGAATAAAAGTCTAAATTAAATCCATTCATCATATAAAGTGACCTTCAAAAAAAACTTGGATTAAACCTCTCCATTCATCTGGATTACTTTTACAATGATTATTTTTTTGAAGCGTCAAAGTTTTGGTTGAGTGGATACTAAATGAAGGGACAGAAATTTTATTAAAATATTTCAGTGGAGGGTTTCATTAAAAATAATTTCCATTTGTTTTGAAAACGAATGAAGGTCTTATAGGTTTGGAACGCCATGAGGGTGAATAATTAATGACAATTTTCATTGTTTTGGTGAACTAACCCTATAAAACGGTGTGTAGGTTAAAAATAAAGCAAATTTAACAAATGTTTCATGAGACCCCTGCAGTCGGCTCTATTCAGTCACGCTCAGTCTAGCTGCTTTTGAAAGCACATCTTAAAAGTGCATGTCATGTAAGCATTAACTACAAAAATGAGTCCAATTGGGGTCCGGTGAACCTGAAATCAGTCTAATTATACAGAGCTCCCAGATTACTTGACTAGTTGTTCAGGTAACCAAATCGACTATTCGTTTTTATTGAAAATATGTAAGATTGCACTAGTAGTGAGGAGGTCATGGGAGACAAAGGGTCTTGAGCTGCCCTGGTATTATTAGCTCTCTTAAAAGTTGACTTTGGACAGTATGTTCCTTCCAAAACAGATAGCACCACCCCCGGCCAGTACTGCTTGCACCTCACCATTGCTTCCTTTCAGATTAGCAAAACAGAAGGATGCCCACTCTGCTGCTGTTATAATCAGCACATAGGCAGCAGAGTGAAATTAGTGCATGTTTTATTTGTTTTGTAAGTCTCCATGTTGCCCGTTACTCACTCATGACTGGGGATTTTCTCAGCAAGGCCGAAGTCTCCAACGATCGCGGAATTATACAGAGCTCCCAGATTACTTGACTAGTTGTTCAGGTAACCAAATCGACTATTCGTTTTTATTGAAAATATGTAAGATTGCACTAGTAGTGAGGAGGTCATGGGAGACAAAGGGTCTTGAGCCCTGGTATTATTAGCTCTCTTAAAAGTTGACTTTGGACAGTACGTTCCTTCCAAAACAGATAGCACCACCCCCGGCCAGTACTGCTTGCACCTCACCATTGCTTCCTTTCAGATTAGCAAAACAGAAGGATGCCCACTCTGCTGCTGTTATAATCAGCACATAGGCAGCAGAGTGAAATTAGTGCATGTTTTATTTGTTTTGTAAGTCTCCATGTTGCCCGTTACTCACTCATGACTGGGGATTTTCTCAGCAAGGCCGAAGTCTCCGACGATCGCAGTGTAGCCATTCTCATCAGACTTGATCAGGCAGTTCTGAGAGAACATCAAAAGGAAAGAAACAGTAACTAGAAGAACATATTGCTCCTCCCACAGGATACCTTACACTTGAGATTCAGTCAATTAGAATCACTTAAACAGAAAGTAATGATGTAGCGAGGAAAGCCACAGGGGTGATTCCCACAGCTATAATTATGGGAAGTCCCACAAGTGCTTAGGAGAGAATGCAACAGCTGGAGGTAAAGACAGCATGTCAGCGCATGCCACCAACAAGAGCACTGTGAAGACTAAATCAAAAGCACCTGTTTCAGTGCTGACTGACATAGTCTTCTTGTTTATAAAGTTACATCATTAAACCCACAGGACAAGTGTACCTTCAGTACATCCTGTAGTTGCCTACCTTCATAAAGCTAATAAAATCAAGCAATGTAATGATTATTTATGACATTACATACACTACCGTTCATAAGTGTGGTGTCAGTAAGCTTTTTTTAAATTAATTAATACTTTTATTCTGCAAAGAAACATTCAATTTACCAAAAGCATGTGAAATTTTACTAAAAAATCTCTCAAATAAATAGTTATTTGATATCTTTTGAATTATCTATTCATGGAAAACCCTGAAAAAAAGGTAGCGTAAAAATATTAAATAGCACAACTGTTTTCAACATTGATAATAATAAATGTGTCTTGAGTACCAAATCAGCACATTATATATATTTCTGAAGGATCATGTGACACTGAAGACTGGAGTAATGATGCTGAAAATTCAGCTGTCAACACAGGAATAAATTACATTTTAAAATACATTAAAATAGAAAATGTCATGATTGCAGGCAATAAACAAGATGACAGAGTCCTGTACCTTGGAAGTGAGATCTCTGTGAAAAATGCCCTTGGAGTGTAGGTAACTGAGGCCCATGGCGATCTCTGAGGCCAGTTTGACCCGTGTGGTCCAGCTCAGGTACTTATTGCTGTCCAGCAGCTGCTCCAAGTTGCCACCATTGTAGTTGCCTACCTTCATAAAGCTAATAAAATCAAGCAATGTAATGATTATTTATGACATTACATACACTACCGTTCATAAGTGTGGTGTCAGTAAGCTTTTTTAAAATTAATTAATACTTTTATTCTGCAAAGAAACATTAAATTTACCAAAAGCATGTGAAATTTTACTAAAAAATCTCTCTCAAATAAATAGTTATTTGATATCTTTTGAATTATCTATTCATGGAAAACCCTGAAAAAAAGGTAGCGTAAAAATATTAAATAGCACAACTGTTTTCAACATTGATAATAATAAATGTGTCTTGAGTACCAAATCAGCACATTATAATGATTTCTGAAGGATCATGTGACACTGAAGACTGGAGTAATGATGCTGAAAATTCAGCTGTCAACACAGGAATAAATTACATTTTAAAATACATTAAAATAGAAAATGTCATGATTGCAGGCAATAAACAAGATGACAGAGTCCTGTACCTTGGAGGTGAGATCTCTGTGAAAAATGCCCTTGGAGTGTAGGTAACTGAGGCCCATGGCGATCTCTGAGGCCAGTTTGACCCGTGTGGTCCAGCTCAGGTACTTATTGCTGTCCAGCAGCTGCTCCAAGTTGCCACCATTAATATACTGAAAAAAAAAGAAAAAAAGAGAAGACTTATCATGTGACAAATTTCACGGTCTCCATCTCTTTGAAGTGCTCAAATGGTCCATTTTGTTTTCAAGAGGGTACAATAGATAGGATGATGGGTTAAATTTGACCGGGTACTTAAAAAAACGCAATGCACAAGACTCTGAATCTGATTAAATAATTATCTGATATGTACAACAATAATGTGCAATAATGAAATCTGTAGCAACATGGGGATTATAATTATTTTGATGGTCATAGTACTTTGTGTTTACAATACTGAAGTGAATCCAATCAGTTTCCTGTGGGTAAAAGTAGTCCATGCCAACTCTCAAGTGGATTGGTTTTCAAGTCCCAAAAGCATGCAAATTAGCAGAGCCCAGCAGGAGCCCTTTAAGTGCTTCTGTTTCACATTGTGAATTTGCATGACAGCACCATCTAATAATTAGGCAATTATTCTGCAAGGGACATATTAACTATTATTTTGCAGTGCAGTGAATGGTTTATGTGTGATTAACTTTAAAACAAGTCTGTGAGAGATTAGTTAATGTGGCACACATGCTACTAACTAGGAGCCTGATGCATTCACCAAGGGGCACTGGTCTCAACAGTGTCCTAATTTTGGGTTGCCTGAAATTATCTGTGCTGACAGATAAAGGGCTCCACATTTAGCTAACAAAATTAGCCACGGTATCACAATATCTCAACGCAGTGAGATATCAACAGGCAGACAAGACGGCGGAGTCAAAATGACAGCACCTTCCAGTTTCCCATAAAGCTCTGGTGCGGTGTCCCGACTCAGGTTGTCAACAGACCTACTGCTCAGCCCTTCGTCCATTTTAATGGCTCCTACTATCTGAGTGAATAGAATAACCAAATAGGGTTGTGTCTTTGTAGTCTAAGGACTCAGTATCACATTTACAGGCAAAAGCAAAATCTTGAGGTACAACTCACTCTCTAGTTACTCTCTAAAAATTTGCTGTCCACAGCATAACCTTGAGATCAACATTTACAAAAAACACCAGCAAAGCATCTAATTATCTCAATTCCCTGGAACTTCAAATTGACAAAATGAACACTTAGCCCCGTCCCAACTGGCACACTCAGCCCTCCAATGAGTAAACACTTTCTTGCGTGGGATGTTGGCTAATATGCGCTGTAAAGCTCAACAAAAAGTGTCAAGGACACATAGCAGCATAAAGCAAAAGCTAATTTTTCAGTTATCAAGGCTATTTTAGAAATGAACAATTTGCAAGCAGCTGTAATTTATTCTGTAAGCAAAAGTGCCTTATAATAGGTTACTCAGACAAAGCAAATAGTATTTACAGTAGCTGGTCATGTGATCTTAACATGACAGCACCCATGAGATGACCCCGTCAATGTAGAATATAACATATTATAAATTATATACATATAAGTTGCTATGACTGGATTCAATAGTTTTTCAAAAATACTAATTTCTTTTGGGACCTTTAACAGGATTTTTTTTGGGGGGGTGGCTTAGGAAAAGCTACACTTGGAATATTTGCATGTATGAAGACCTGCACATTTGTACATGGTAAACGGTCAGCTAAGCCAAATCTGGCTGGCTGTTCCGTCTAATCCCATTTGCCTCTCTTCTTACAGACCTGATCTCATGCCCAACATCTATTCCAAATCCAGGTCAGGAAATCTTTCATTTGGAAGTGCTCTGGTTCTGCTGTCTGTTGGCTTCATCTTTCAGTGGGTTAAAACTAATCCTACATCACACCATTTTGTCAGCGTTGACTATACGATGTATTGCCAGACTGATTAAACGGAACAAAAACGAATAGCCCAGGTTAGATCTAATGCTGTGCTACTCCAGGTGATTAGGTGACTGATGTGCATGCCTATAGAGCTAATCCACTTGGTGAAACAGTAACATTGAGTGTGTTGCCTCAGAGGCTTCGAAAAATAGTATAATCCCTCAGCAGGCCAGTGATTACCACTGCACTAATACCTCTTTCTGTCAACATGCATCAAAAAAGCAGAGCAGAGGTCACAGGGCGACGGTAAGAACAAGTGACCTGCAATGACTTAAAGGAGTAGTTCACTTTCAGAATGAAAATTCTGTCATCATTTACTCACCCTCTACTTCTTCCAAACCTGTATGAGTTTCTTTCTTCTGTTGAACATAAAAGATGCTATTTTGAAAAATGTTAGTATCTGAACAGTTTATGGGCAGTATTTTTTTTTTCCTACTATGGAAGTTAATGGTGCCCATCAACTGTTCGGATACTAACATTTTTCAAAATCTTCTTTTATGATAACAGAAGAAAGAAACTCAGGTTTGGAACAAGTGGAGGGTGAGTAAAGGATGACAGAATTTTCATTCTGGAAGATAACTACTCCTATAAAGATGAAGTATGTAATATTCAAAGAGCCTGCAGCTTCACTTTTCAGGACGTGTGAGGCACACCCGCTTCCTCAGTCACGATGCTCTAGCGAGTTGTCAGATTAAGGACATGCAACGAGAATGAGCGCAACTGACAATGGAAGGAGACGAGCTCTACACTGAAAGTTGATGAGTTGATTTATCCTTGTTTTAATATGCCTCAGGTCTTAGAGCTTTTTAGATTGATGCCGAGGCTTTTTAGGTCGGGTAGAATCTGAGATCTCTGACATAGTTTGTTTGCTTCCATGGCTGCGATACGCTGTTTTCCGTTCTCTGGCAACCTGGGGTGTTTAAATACTATTGTTTAAACTGGCAGTGAGCGGAAACGGACCAAAACAAAAACAGACCTTCTGACACGGAATGCACATTTTCCAAGTAGAACTCATGTCACATATCTAGAACAGTACACACTAGTACATTACAGTAGTGTTTACCAGGCTTTTGTAGTGAACTACTGTGTTGTGAAAACTAAACTAACTAAACTTCCTCCAAATGCAGTGCTTCTCAACCAGGGTCCGGGGCCCACTAGGGGTCTCAGAAAGCTTCCAAGAAGGCCTGAAGATGAATTAAAATGATTAAAAAGACAAACCATCAAAATAAGCTACAACAACTGAAAATCACAATATTTCTTATTTTAATTCACCTCAACTTATTTTCCTTATGACGAACCACAATTTCCACGGTTTTGGAAAACCTGGATATATGAGCCTAATTTTAAAAGTGTGATTTCTAGATCTGGAATGAATGAATGAAATACACTTTATTATCCCCAAAGGGGAAATTTGTGTTGGACTCAAGGTGTTTACATTGACAAGACCATTGGATCCATAAATAACAATATACACAAAATATACACATAATTCCTATACCCACCCTGAAAAGACAATCATTCATCATTTAACATTTTAATAGACATGGCTATAAAATACTTTTTTAAAACGATTATACCTACACATTGGAAATCTGTACCGTCTTCAAGAAGGCAACAATTCATACTCTGTATGCAATACATGCAATGGGTCAGCTAAAATGTTATGTGCTTCCCTAAGAACCGACTGTTCACAGTGACTCAAGGAACAAAAACTCCTTTCTCCTAATGGTCTTCATTGCTATTTTTAACAAGCGTGCAAGCTTAGACTTTACCCAAGTCATGGCAATCAATAAAATCTTAATTAAATGAACAAAATAAAGCCATGGGCATTTTTATAATGAAGTATACATATATCTCTAAAACATTTTATGACTACTCTATCTTTAAAAATGTTTGATATTTTAAATCGCAACAAAAGTTACTCACAAAGAAAAGCCTACATTTCCTACACTTCCTGAACATACAGGCTACGTCCAATACAACATGTGTAATACAAGTAATGCATTTGTGGGCAAGTTACAGTGCACAGCATAAGTGAGTACACCCCCTCTGATTAAATATAAAAGATGTATTTTCTTAATGATCACATTGAATAACATTCTTCTTTGGTAACTGATCAAGCAGACTTGCTGGAATATTATATCTCTAAAAAACCATAACATGTCTTCTAAGCAAAGAGTAATTGCTGAATTTGTTAAGTTTCAGAGGGGGTGTACTCATTTATGCTGTGCACTGTATGTGCATTCATACAGGCATAATACACACACACGGTTTGAGATGGTAAAAATACAACATGCCTTTAGGGGACTGCCAGTGGGCTCTCTAATATTATACTTCCCCTCGGGCCACCGTGAACAAAGACTAAACTGTTCAGTGTCACAGTTGATTCAGCGGGAAATGCCACAGACTTAGGAATCAAAGGTACCCTGCAAGCACTCTCAGACCAACTTTTTCCAGCAGTGCAAGTATTATTCAAGCATAAATTCAATACAATGCTATTGGTACAAAAGGCTATCTTATAAAAGTTATCTTCTAGCTTGGAAAAAAGGCAGAAGGAGGCCATGTTGCAATGTCATCAATGTGATTGAATGTGTCATCAAAGTCTTGTTTTAGCTACAGCTGATGAAGAAAAGTCAACTGTCTCACAGGAGATGTGTGGTGAATGAAACACATGAGTCAGATGTCACTTACCTCGATGAGAGCATGGAGTTGACCTTCCTGTACACACACCCCCATAAATCTACAACACCACAAAAACAAAAAAAGAAGAAAGGTTGATGTTAGTTTAATGTTCTGAAGCAGCAGCAGTTAAAAGTTTGAGGAGATTTCTAGGATGTCCAAAAAAAAAAGTCAATGTGCAATCAATTGCGTAAGAGCAAATTCAGCATTATCAATCAGAATGAGCTGCTGCTGTCTACACCAGCGCTGACTTTCTCTGAGGCTGCTGTCCAATGGGCTTATTTTATGATCTACGTTCATTTCTTGTGTCAAAAATGGCTTTTACAAATGACACCATAAACTCAGACAGGTTTATGGTGCTGTACTTCAACACAAACTATAAAATTCGAGACTGTCCCCAGTCGACTGGAGGGTGAAACTCCGATGTAAACAGGCACAATGGCACAATAAAGGCAAGATTTCTGCCGTAAATACAAATGGCTGCTTCATCTTTCAGAGATGGAAGATGTAGCAAAAAATGCAAAAAGTGTAATTTCTTTAAAGAGAAGCAAACCAGTAATACATTATAACGGAGTTCCATATCTCTGCCACTTGCATTAAGAAATTAATACTTTTGTTCAGCAAGGGTACATGAAATTAATCAAAAGTGAAAGACACTTATAATGTTACAAAAGTTTTCCATTTCATATAATGTTCTTCTTTTAAACTCTCTATTCATCGAAGAAAAAAATATTAAGCAACAACTGTTTTCAACATTGATAATAAGAAATGTTTCTTGAGCACCAAATCAGCATTTGAATGATTTCTGAAGGATCATGTGACACTGAAGACTGGAGTAATCACAGGAATAAATTACATTTTGAAATGTATTACAATAGAAACAGTTGTTTTAATTTGTAAAAAATATTTCAAAATTTAACTATTCCTTTTTTTTGATCAAATAAATGCATCCTTGGTGAGCATAAAATACCTTTTTCAAAAACAATTACAAAACTCTTACATACACCAAACTTTTGAATGGTAGTGCATGTACGCATAAATACAGTAATATCTGTGTCAATTGTGATGTCTTATGTGCCTCTTTTTTTCAGAGTCATCACTTGCAAACAGTCAGAAAAATCAGATTTGATAAATACAGACAAAATGTATGTGCAGTGTGAGGTCCACACAATATAGACATGCAGTAGCCTTTCACTAATTTGTTCTCAGCAATGACACAACGTATCGATGTCTCTGAATGGCCACCTCACACGAGTCATTAGAAAGGATACAGATTTGTCTGTGTTTTCAAAGTTATGGCCCCATTAAGCCCAGGCCTGGCTTTTATTGCGGGTCGGTGTTGGGATTTCTTCAACAAAGCTCCCCTTAGCCTTCTCCTGTCTGCACTACAGTCCCTCCACCCCCATTCAATAAGACGTAACAATGGTGTGACTGTAAACCACACACAGACCCTCTCTCACTCTTTTATCCACCCACAGACTCAAATTCTGCTCTACAAACAAGCCAAGTATCACAACAATGGAAGCAGTACCAGACATATTTAAACAGTAAACCAAATGTGTACTGCAGCATTGTTTGAAAGACAACTGCTTTATTATTCAGGGTGGCATTTTGTCACAAAAACACATTGATTCCAAGATTAAAAATATAATAACAACAAATAAATAAAATAATAAAACAAACAAACTAATACAGAAAATAAATAAATACACAAAACAAATAGAAATCTCAGATACGTGCAGTCTCAGTTGACAAAACGCACTAGTTCTTCACTGAGCAAAAGTCGAGAATCAAGAGGACAGCTTTTTGATCTCAATGAAATCTAAACTCAGGATGTCGTTTCACTCCATCTATTGTTAATGGATTTCTGTGGAACGAGGAGGAAGAGGTCATCTCTGCTTTTCCATTACAAAGGAGAGAAAGATTCACATTGAAAGCAACACTCCCACAGTCTCACTGTTTGAAAGACTGCATTCATTTTGAGCCACTGACAGTGCATAAAGCGAGGCACACTCCTTGTACAAAGAGTAGGAAACCTAATATTAATATTAAACTACATCAGCCACAGCTTTATATGAAAAGTGCAGTCATGTTTTTCTTTGAAACATGTTATTTCCATTTTTCCATTTAGTTACAAGCTCATTAAATTTACTTTTATTGGCATCAGCTCCTTAGTTTCTTGTTAACGTAAACCACATCTGCAAAAACCATCTTCATAAAGTAACTACACGGAGACACATGGCAGCAGAGAACTTGAAAGGAGACTGGCCTGGAATTTGCAATAAAATCTTCCTTGCACAATGCACATTGAAGCCGTGGCCTAGCTTTGAGCCTTGCACATTTTGCAATTCTGTTACACCTCTCAGCCCATCATTTGCTATACTCTTATACATTGCAAAAAGGCTGTCTACACGATCATTTTAACCCAATCAAAAAACGTGTTAATCCACTGTTATAATGGTGTGGTACTGAAAGCAAACCTGAGTATGTTGGGGTGAGAGAGTCTGTTCATGAGTTGAACTTCTCGCAGCATGTTGGCACGATTACTACTCAGCTTGTTCATCTTTAGGGCCATTACCTGGTCCGAAGCTTTGTGACGCACCTAAAACAAACAAAGAAAATGAGAAATGCTCTTTTAGTCTTACTCTGAATTTGAGCTAAACCATACAGACAAAATGAAAGGAGTCAGGGGAACTCATTTAAGTTTTTATATGCTTTGAATGTTCATCTTAAAAGGAATGCAAATTCTGCAGCTTTTTGTTCAGTGCATATCGGGCCATTGCTTCTCACATGCTACTATCCAAAAATTGCATCAGAGAAAGTGAAACCCACAGCATTAGACCAACAATACCACTCAGAGTTGAAGTGCCATAGCAAATGAGGTCTGAAAGAACGGTCATTGTTAAAAATCATTATTACACAGCCAATTTTTTTAGCACAAAATGAAGAAAGAAAACAGGCAAGCACTGCACAACTGACTATTGGCCATGTACCGTTAGGGGTTTCACAACATTTCTGAAATGTGCCTTTGCAGATCTGTTTCCTAGTTTCCGCTTTGTGCTTTCATCTTGCTGACCAATAAAAAGACATTTAGGAAAAGAAATATCAACCACAGGATTTCCTCAGAGTACAAAAAAAAAATTCATCTTCTATGTCTGTAAAATGCTGACTTCCTCAAACTGCATGCAGTGATGAAAAGACTCAACACAATGAAGGATTACTCAAAATTCTGTGCTAGGGAACCAAAACATTAAAATCTGTGTTGTATTCGTAACACATAGCAACATTTTCTGAGTGTTTCCTTTTATTTTAAATGCATGGTGGTGACTGTACTGCAACCAATCTCAGTCTGGGGGATCAGCAGCCTAGGAAGAGCCCATTTTGTGTGCCCACCTACAGTGAGAGCCACCTGTCAGACATGAACCCAGATGCCTCCGCTAAAGCACCCAAACTCTCAATCTGTTGCTATTTTCAAGTCACAGCTTGCTGCCCATGCAACAAATCCAGCGTCCTAGGAAAATGTTTTGGTTCCTCAAATGTAGATGGATTGCAACATTGAGCAATATGATTATTTAGGGATTCTACATATTGCTGTGGGGTTTTTAGATGTTTATTTGAGCCTGCCAAATGGGTACAGATTGAAACTCATTTGTTCAAATAAACTGAAAAAGGCAATTATTGCATTAGCTACCCAGACAGGTTCTTGCAGACCCCCAGCACAGCTAGTATTTGGCTCACCGCATTACCCCTGCCTGTGCCATATATAGACACCCCCTGCCTGCCATCCTAAAACCATTCACTCTGCTGCTTTAAATCTCAGCCACCTGTGCGGAAAAGGAAATATTCTAAATGGACATATATAACAAATCACTAACAATTAATGCTCATCGATTTTAAGGTAAGCAGGTTCAGAGGATCAAACCGTAGCTCAACAAGGGCGCCACAATTATTTATTTACATAGAATCAAAAGTTGAAGTACTTTTTGATTTCAATTCACTGCACTTTTTTACCACTATATAAATAAATAACTATGCGAACAATTTACTTTTGCCTTTTTTGTCTGAATCCTTTTAGCTTCACACACCTGAGGCAATAAAAGTTTAACTGAAAGAATCGTTTTTGTATTATTATTTAAACTGCAAAAAACTATTTGCATGCTCAATTCAAAGTTCACTAAGGGCTTAAACATTTGCATTTCCTAGACACTCGTCGCTTCATTAAATAAAAACTAATGTTAAAAGTGAAAGTGCCTGCAAGATGCAAAGAAAAGGTGATTAATTCCTACCAAAGAGAGAGTGTCTACATTATAAAACAAACATCATAAAAGAAAAACCAAATACACAACTGGATGCCACAAAACAAACTGCATAGAAAAATTCACTCTCAGAAAATGTGCAAACATTTAGGGGTACAACAGCTTGTCACTGGGGCACTACCCTTAAAGGGAAATCTTTGTAACTTATTTATCTTTAGGATACATACATAAGAAAATAATATTTTCCTCACAATATATTTCAACAATTTTACTGCTTATACATAGGGTACTGCCTTAGTGACAAGCTGCTGCATTCTTTTTGCACTTTTTTTTCTTCTGACAGTGCATAGTACGTGGATATTATCAGCAGTAAAGCGGTAAAAAAAAAAAAAAAAACACATTGGTAACAGTTTTGTATATCTGTTCTGATTGGCTTATAACAAATGCAACACAATCTAGTGTAGGTAACTCTGAATGGACAGAATTAAAATAAGCCAATAGAGGCTTCAGAGTGGCAGGGTCTACAATTCTTACATCTCTCCAGACACAGTTTGATCTAAAAATGGCTGAGCTCTGATCTCTAAATGACTTAATACCTGGCCTAAGAGGACAAACCTGGCCCATTTACAGTGTTGGGCAAGTTACTTCCAAAATGTAATACATTATATATTACTAGTTACTGTCTTTTGAAAGTAATTAGTTACATTACAATATTACTGTCTCTGAATTGTAATGCATTACACTACTTTTGAGTTACTTTTGAGTTACTTTCATCCAAAATATCCACATAAGTATTGTAAAATGCCAAAATGTAGTTTATTGCTGCTCATTATACATCCAGTGGAGGGTAATGTGGTAGGTTATGACAAAACACACAAGCTAAAATAAAACCCAATGCAGCATGTGTATGTACAGAGAAGCTCTGCAGAGACAAATACTGCTCATGACTGAAAGAGTTCACGACAGGGGAATTGATCTTGGGTAATGGGCATCATCATGCACTGTTCTCCCGGGGCTTTTCTGACCTCCAAACTTCATTGAATTATTCACAGTGAACATAGTGAATAGCAGTGAATAGGCTACTGTACTACTGATGCTCAGCATCAAGGGTAATAATCTTTAATTCTGTAGGAGGTCATCATTATGTGCAGCAAACAACTAAACAATTATAAATGACAAACTGTAATCAACACTACAGACGAAGATGCATGTTGTAAACACCATCCTCATGTTAAACAACAGGAATGGCAATTATTTGACATGTCAGTGTTCACTGTCATGATACTTGTTTCAATTAAAGATACCAGTCTGTTACATTAGTTTGAAGAACAGAGAGAAATCACAGAAGAGGCACTGACTCTCACAAACTCTGAAAGCTACTTTATGCATGTTACTGTAAAAAACAAAGGTTAAGGGACTAAGTAAATCTATCCTATAAAAGGTAACAGTATCTAAACAGGCTTTTTAACAGACTTTTAATGTCTTTATTTGACAGGATAAGTGCGGAGAAACAGGAAACTATTGGGTAAGAGAGAAGGGAATGAGATCAGGACATGAACCAGGCCGGATTTGAACCTGTGCCACTGTCAGCCAATGACAGGCTAAAAAGCAGCCAGTTTTACTGCATTTAAACTTGGACACACAACTGAATCTTTCCCAGTTTTAACCACAATGTTTCATCTTCATTAACTTCTAACTTTGATATCATATCATACCAAGTCATACTAAAAGACCAACCCTCTACGGACACCATGGCAATTGAATCGCCATTGGCTAGTAAGCATTTCTTAAACGCTGAAGAATTCCAAAGGAACTCCGTTATACAACAAAGAATATTGTTTACATGTAGCGTGTCAATTCTGCATAATATGTAACACTCTCTCTTTCGCTCTCCCTCTTTGTGTGCGAGAAAAAAAGCAAAGTGATGGCGAGTCGTGCGCCTTCACACTAGAGTTTACAGTACATCAAACACAGGTGCGCTGCGCATCCATCGAGATGAACTGAAAAAAAGCACAGATCTCTTGACGGAGAGTGAAACTCTGAAGTGCTCAGTCAGAGTTCGGCAAGTGAAAATATATCTGTGCCAATCTTATAATTAGCCTCCAACTCACACACTGGCGAGTAAAATCTGAGAATTTATTAGCAATTGGCTAATAGTAGTCATCATTTAGTCGCCCAGAGTTAAGATTCAGTCGCATATGCGAGTGATTTACTCGCAATGTAGAGGGTTGAAGACTCTCTTTAGCAAATACCATCATTAGGGCTGTGCAAAAAATCGAATGCGAATTTCATTCGACGGCTCTGTGTAGTAAATGCCGCTCCATCTGAAAGCACATGCTGGAGATTTACTACTAATCACAGGAGCGGCTTTACTGACGAGATGCGCATGAAAATCGCATTTGATTTTTTGCACAGCCCTAACCATCATTATGGCGATCAGTACTAGCCCTATAGGCTACTCTTCTTTCTTTTGCACAAGTTAACTACATATTGTAATCTAATAGCAAGTACTGTAATATCATCACTGTTAAGCAAACAACATTTAATTTTACATGCCAAAATATGCACACCTATCTGACATTGCAACCTAGATGACAACTCATCAACTGAATCCTTTAAAGGGGTCATATGATGCGATTTCAAGTTTTCCTTTCTCTTTGGAGTGTTACAAGCTGATTGTGCATAGATAAGATCCCTGAAGTTGCAAAGACTAAAGTCTCAAAACCAAAGAGATATTCTTTATCAAAGTTAAGACTCTGCCACGCCACCCTAAAACGGCTCGTTCTAACACGCCCCACATATCTACCTCACTATGTGGAAATATTAGCATAACTTTTCCACTAAATCTCCGTCTATCTTTGAAAAAAGGCTACACAACTCTCACCTCCTGGTGTGCAAAAACTGTAGGAGTTATCAAACCGTTGAATCAGATAATCAACGTTTTCATGTTCACTTACAATTATAATGAAGAATGGCAGAACTCAACACTGCAGGTGGTTTGGTAAAGCTAATAACTAAAATCGAAATGACTTATTGTCATCACACACAACCATCTTACCTTGTAGACCTCTGAAAAAAACCCAGAGCCAATCCACTCGCAGATGAAGTCATCAAGTCGGGTCAGGCAAGAAAAGGCACTGATGAGGGCCCGGTAAGACGAGGGACACACCCTGTCCAGCGGTGCCGGAACGGTTTCTGCTCCTCCTCCACAATCCGGGTCCTCCAGCCGATCTGGTCGCATGGGGAACCCAGCAATGGAGTTGCGTTTGCTCCGCTCCATTGCTACTGGTGCACAACTAATCTGGTAGAGTATCAATCACCGGATCACATTTTTGACTGTCCTTGCTAGACCTACAAAGGAATAAACAGATAAATAGATGAATAAAATATTGTTAATAATTAGGGCTTCCCTTAGTCTCGTGTAGCCAGACCTTTAGACTGACGGCTGAAGGTCTGGAATCCATGGCAGCTTTCATTAGCCAAGGCCCGCCCATGAGGCCATTTGACCGACATGTCATATGTAGGCAATTAAAGGCTCATTATAACAATTTAAATGGTTTATTAATAAATGTGCGATTAGTCGATTAATGCTTCAAATGAATGACTACTAGTCGACCAGAAAAATCCTTAGTCGAGGGCAGCCTAATCTCAGCCTCAGACGTCACGCCCACGGACCGTTGGCTAAACGTCTGATGCATACGGCACACCAAAGTGGAAACACTTCAGGAGTTTCGAAGTCGTCATCGGATTGGTTGAATTATACAGGATTTCCGGGAGATGCGTGTGTCGCATTCTTTAACGTTCCACCTGTAACGTTCCGCTAAACGTCTGATGCATACGGCACACAAAAGTGGAAACACTTCAGGAGTTTCGAAGTCGTCATCGGATTGGTTGAATTATACAGGATTTCCGGGAGATGCGTGTGTCGCATTCTTTAACGTTCCACCTGTAACGTTCCACCTTCAGCCTCAGTCTAAAGGTCTGGAATCCATGGCAGCTTTCATTGGCCAAGGCCCGCCCATGAGGCCATTTGACCGACATGTCAAACAACCAATCACAGTTCCCATCTTTGTTTCCAGGTGGAACGTTAAAGAATGCAACACACACGTCTCCCGGAAATCCTGTATAATTCAACCAATCCGATGACGACTTCGAAACTCCTGAAGTGTTTCCACTTTTGTGTGCCGTATGCATCAGACGTTTAGCCAACGGTCCGTGGGCGTGACGTCTGAGGCTGAGATTAGGCTGCCCTCGACTAAGGATTTTTCTGGTCGACTAGTAGTCATTCATTTGAAGCATTAATCGACTAATCGCACATTTAGTAATAAACCATTTAAAGCATTATAATGAGCCTTTAATTGCCTACATAGCCTAATAAGCACTCAAGAACACGCATAAAGCTTGCCACAGCGCACCAACAGAAGTAATGATTATGAATGTGTCAGTGAAAAACAGTAAGGAGACTGCATTAATTTCAGCGTCATGTTTCAGGGCGTGGAAATGTCGCCACAATAACAGACCGTGTGTAAATCTCTTGGACGTATTTTAAAGATTCTATGCCGCGAACTTTAAATATTTCACATACTTTA